GGGGGGTTCAGGGGCGCTACCTTCCCGGCGCTTGAGCGATGGCTGCTGGGTGGGGAGCAGGCATGGCTCTCAAGCTAAGTCTTAAATTCTTTGACTGGCTTTCTTGTTTCTAATACAGCTTTATGGTCTTTTGTCTCACAGGTATTTCATGCATGGGGTTTGTAAGGAAGGAGATAACTGTCGCTATTCACATGACCTCTCCGACAATCCTTATGGTGTAGTGTGCAAGTATTTCCAGCGAGGGTACTGTGTGTATGGAGACCGCTGCAGGTAAGAATCAGTTCATAGATTCATTTCTGGTGGGTGGTGGTAGAAAATAGTAAAATACATAATGTTAATACATAATAGATTTAAAGCATTTAACGGTTTAGGGCTGAAGGTGTAGCTCCATGGTAGAGCACTTGCCTGGCATACTCAGGGCCCTGAGCTTTATCCTCAGTAATGCAAAAGTTATTACTTAGTGCTTTGAAAAGTGCTCCTTAGGAATGGCAGTAGTACACAGACAGCACTGTGTCCTGCAGGGGATGTATTACATGTTTTGAATTAATTATGTCCTTGTTATTATATTAGTATAGGCTTGCAGTACATAATGAATACATTTATCATGGGAAGTTTGTACATCTGCATAACACATCTTAATGCTTTTTTGTCCCCGTCCTCTCCTACCCTTTCTGCTCCTTCCAACTCTTGATCCCCTTTCCATTTGAAAAGGCTCAAAATAGTCCTAAATTTGAGCCCAGTGTAGTGCAGTTACCTCTAATCCCAGCACTTGGGGAGTTGAGGCAGGATTGCAGGGAGTTTGAGGCCAGCCCAAATGACCCTGTCTCAAAAAAACAAGCAAAAGTCGGGTGTGGTGGCGCACGCCTGTAATCCCAGCACTGAGAGGCTGAGGTAGGAGGATCGCTGTGAGTTCGAGACCAGCCTGGGCTACATAGTGAGTTCCAGATCAGTCTCCACTACATAGTGAGACCCTGTCTCAAAAAAAACGAACAAAAAAGTCCTGTATTAGCTGGGTGTAGTGGTAATATCGGTAATCCCCACTTTGTTTTTGTTTTGGTACCAGGGATCGAACTCCTTGTGCTTGCGAAGCAGGCAGTGGCACCAGTGAGCTAAATCCCTGGCCCTATATTTGTGGTTTTTTGAGACCTAATCTTGCTCTGTAGTGCAAGCTGGCCTTGAACTCACTGTGTAGTTCAGGTTGGCAAGCTCATGACTGCCTTAGGCTCCCAAGTGCTGAGATTGCAGGTGTGTATCACCGTGCCCTTCTATTGTCCCTACATTTAAGGAGAGTGCAGCCTGCAGCTTGGATTACTGAGGATTATTGCTTGAATTACTACATAATGAAGCCCTGTGTCTTGACCCTATCACCACCAGTCCTGAATTACTGCCAGGAGTGATTTCTTCTTCATATCTTAGGGAAGGTGTTGGTATGTGGCATTTCCTTTTCAGAACAAAGTCTGAAGTGTGTATTTGTCTAAATTGTATTGGTTTCAGTGAGCGAGGGAAACAGAACAGGGTCTCAGGAATTTGGAGTGAGGTTTTTTTGTTGTTGGTTTGGGTTTTTTGAGACAGGGTCTCACTATATAGTTGAGACTGACCTGGAACTCATTATGTAGCTCAGGCTGGTCTCAAACTCATAGCGATCTTCCTGCCTCAGCCTCCCGAGTGCTGGGATTACAGGTGTGTGCCACCACGGACCAGCCTGGAGTGAGTTGCTTTTTTTATTTTAGTGCAGGGAATCAAACTCAGAGGCCTGATGACCTCATAGCTGCAAGGTACCTAATTAGTTACAGGGCTGGTTGGTTTGTCTAATACTTCTAAGTATTACCAGTTTGGAAAATGAAACAAAAGTCAAGGACCAGTTGCCATCTTAGTGAAAATTCCTTTGGTGTCTGTCAGAGTATTAGAGAAGGGTTAGTTGCTGAGGGATCTTTACCCTCAATTTGAATTTGTGCCATAATCCTGTTAAGACACAATTCATCAGTAGTGGTTTCTGTTTAGAAGTTGTTTAGAGTGTTTCCTTGCTTATCTTTCCAGATAGTAGAAAGTATGTGTGTACTAGGTGTTTCAGTTATCAGTTGATGTTTACCCCAGAGTTCAGCAGTTCAAAACAGCAAGCATTAGCCAGGCATGGCGGCACACACCTGTAATTCCAGCACTCAGGAGCTGAGGCAGGGGAATCACCATGAGTTTGAGGGCAGCCTGGGGTACATTGTAAGACCCTGTCTCAAAAAACCAAGTATTTCTGGTCTCACATAAGTTCTAGGGGCCTGGAACCTGTGAGAAGCTTAGCTGAGTGGTTTTATCTCATACTCGGAGAGTATCTGTCAAAATTCATGGCCAGGGTGACAGCCATGAAAACTTGATGGAACTGGGGACTCTTGCTCATTCCTGGTTGGTGACAGGAGACCCCAGTTCCTCCACTAAGCCTTTCTGTAGGGCTGCTGTGCTGCAGTCCTGCTTGGCAGCAAGCCTTCCCCAGAGCCAGCAGCTCAAGAGAGGGGAGACGGTGCCTTTTATGACCTCAGCTCGCAGTCACATGCTATCACTCCCACTGAGTGCTGGCCTGTCACTGAGTCCAGTTCACATCAAGGGGACGAGATTTGGGCTCCTATCTTTTAAGAGAGCCATGTGGCAAGTTTGGGATATATTTTAAACCACTACACTAAAGTTCTAGCAGTGTCCTAGCCAGTGTGAGTGTCATATTAGAAAAACATGTCAGCTGTTGGGGTATGGTGGATGGGATGGTGATGTTAAGTCATCCTAACTAATGTTAAGCCGTCCACTGGATGGGGCAAAATATCTTTCCACTAACTGGGAGCTTAGAAATGGACCCTAGGGTATTTGAGCTTATTGGTTACTTTGCAGTTAGTGTTACATAGGAACAGCAAGTGTGGTGGTGCACATCTATAATCCCAGCTCCCTGGGAGGCTGAGGCAGGAGGATTGCAAGTTCAAGCCCAGCCTAGATAACTAATGACTTGGAAAGACCCTGTCTCAAATTTTGAAAAAGGGTCTGGAGATGCAGCATAGCAGGAAGGCCCTGGGTTCAGTCCTCAGTCTTGCAAAGGGTTGGGTGAGTGGGGTTTGCAGCATCCCATCCTGTGACAAATAAGCCAGTCTTTGCTTGCTGTGGTCATTTTCAGCAGGGGTTCTGTATGGGGCTGATGTGGGAAGCTTGTTCCTAGGACTGTGTTATTGATGACTTGGAAAGGAAGTGAATATGGTGAGCAGAGAATCCCAGTGCCCAGCAGAGAGTTGTAGAGGGTAGACTGCTGTTAGATAGGTGAACCTGCAGGTGGTCCTTGGTGTCAGAAGAGGTACTTGTCTGATCAAACTCGGGTCCTTGGGCTGGGGATTTGGCTCTGCAGTGCTGCTGCCTGCCTTGTAAGTGCAAGGTTCCGAGTTTGATCCCTGGTACCAAAAACAAAACAAAACAAACTTGGTCCTTGTGCTTGCAAGGCAGGCAGCAGAACCACTGAGCTAAATCCCTGGCCCTCTACCAGGTAGTTTTGTTAGCCCCACATGATGCCGTTTTTCTCTTAGTCGCTAAGTATGGAAGGTGGAAGATATTCTGTTCTGCTCTATCCTGCCCTACCCTATCTTATTTGAGATAGGGTCTTGCTATGCAGGTCCAACTGGCCTTGAATTCACTATGTAGCCCAGGCTGTCCTGAAATTCATAGTGATCCTCCTGCCTCAGCCTCTTGAGTGCTGTGATAACAGGTATGCATCACTATGCTGCCTTTTTCACCTTGCTAAGCAAGCTCTGTACCAAGCCATGCCCACCCCTAAAAGAGTCTTAAACTAAACATAAAATACAGCTGACCAACCATACTGGTCCTGCTTCACTGTGCAAGTTGTTGGATACATACACACTGTGGGTTAGACTTATTCCACATGTAATGACTTCTGTGTCTGAAATCAGCTCTGCCTAAAAGGCTGAAAAAGTTGTACATTTTGAGTCTGCAAGTGCCTTCTCGAAGGAAAAAGTTTTCCTGCTGTCTGTGGAGATAGATTAAATGATGTACTGATGTAAAAGGAAGAAGAAAGTGAGGTAAGGAATGAGCGAGTGTGCAGATCAGGAAAAGAGGATGCAGACGGTATATTCTTTAGATGCTGTCTGCCTTTTACCATGGGTAGTGTGTTCTGTGTTTAGAAAGGTGTTCCTTACCTTGCTTTTCTTCATTGTTCAGTGAATGAATTTGAAGAGTCACAGCCTGTAGACCACATTCAAAGGCTGTTCTTGGAGGTGCAGTGTTTCTGGGACAGTCAGACGTTCATTTAAATACCTGTTGCATTTTGTACTACATATTCAGGCAGAGTTGAATAGTTGTGATATTGACTGACCTACAAAGCCTAAAATGTGTAGTGGTTTCTTTTTTGTCCTATTTTCAGGGGCATGGCAATATTCTCCAACCCAGGGAGCACTGAGCTCCATCCCCAGCCCTCTGTTTCCCATATTTCTTATGTATACACAGAAGCTGAAGGTCCAAGGACCATGTCAGGGAGTGTGTGTGATACTTGCCTTTCTTTTCTTTTCTTTCTTTTTTTTTTTTTTTTTTT